AAAGAGGTACAAAGCAACGACAACAGCCATATCCACCTCGGTTGCCTTAAGACCCGTACATTCCACTCCATTCGAGTAGAGGGCCTGTAATGGCTGGTATCTGGGCCGGTACCCTCTGGATGTCATACATGAGGTGGCGGCTGAGTTATGTTATGTGTTGTTCTTCAGTTCTTTACCATGTCTACCATACCTAACTCTTTCTAAAAGTAATAGTTAGTAAACAAAGTAAAAAATGTACACATTATTACAGCAATCTCATTAATTTGACAACCAAAATCCTATCCATGGTCAGCCAGATCAGGCACGTACCCTGTCTTATCCGCAGAGTCAAACAGATCATTTTCTTTCAGATTAATTAGTTTAAAAGCTTTTAAAAAACACTATTATGCCCTGATCTAAAGAAAATCAGCAACAGATAAGTAAGAAAGTCCATTGCAATTATCAGTATGTAAAGATTTATCATCCACCTGCAAAACAAACACAATAAAGATTGTTGAACTATCCTAAAATTAGGAACATTTGTTCAAACTTGACCAAAGTTTATTTATTTTAGTCAAGGCATTACCTGTGACCAAACAAAGAAATAGAAAATTAACAATGTTGTCCTTCCCCTTTTTGCTTTTTTAAAGCCAAACACAGACTGGCAGATTCTGTTTCCTTTCTACTAAATTAAAGTCAAAAACAATGTCTGATGTGATTTATAGCACTTAATCAAAAAGTGGGTGGAGCTTATTCATATTATCTGTAAACCAATTACTTGAAAGAGCTTGATTCTGGGTTTTTGTATGAAGAGCAACAGTTTTATTGTCATTGTGCATAGCTAGCTGCACAGTAGTAAACAGCAGTGTGTTCAGTCTTTAAGTCCAGGATGAACAGAGAACCATTCTTTGCCGTCTCTCCACTCATGTCTCCAGTAATATTGAAATGCTCTTTAAAAGGTCCTTCATGTTCTATGCTGCTGTAATACACATGTCCAATACGATTCAGAGCTAGGTCACCAGGGTATTTTTGGTACCATTGCATAAGCATGTAATCTGTCTTTTCATGGCTGCAGACCAACTGAATGCTTTGTCCAAGTTCCCTCAGAGCAGCAGGAGGACTTTGATGGACTTCGATGCTCAGACAAATACCTTGAAAATGAGAACAGATTTATTAGTATTAGAAATATTCATCAGGATTCATATTTTTAAGTATTATTATTATTTTGTTTTTAAGTTTTACCTGTGAACAAAAATAAAAAGGGAAATGTCAGCATGATGATCCCTCTTACCAACAACAATAAAATGTGGGTCCTATATTTGTCTAGCATTGATTTTTAAATGAACAGGCCCAACCTTCGCAAACCTCATATAGTTCACTTTGAAATGTCCATGGAGCTCCAGTGCCATCTACTGGAAATAAAACAGACATTTTACAGGTTCCCAATAGGATGAACTGGCAGTTAGCTTTTATTTTGCTTTTACATCATATCACAAAATGAGTAATAGAAGTATGTATGATGTATCGTGTAGATATGGTGTCCAATTATTACCTGTATAGGTCAATACTAAAACCTGCAATATGTGTATTGTATCATAAATAAAAAGTTGTATCAGGACATCTCTAGTTTCAGTGACGTTTCTCTTCCACTAAATATTAAAACCACAGCCTTTTTTTTTTTACCTTCCCCATGTACAATGGCGCCTTAACACAAAGATCCAAACCCCGATAAACCCTGGAGAGAAGACAGGTGCATGAAGCTGGGCGCTGTGGAAATACGAAATGCTTGAGGTTTTTGAACTGAGGAGTTTTTTCATTTATCACTGTGTTTACTGGCAGCACAAAAGTAAACTGCACTGCTGTTCAACCTGAGTCTTTCAATTGTCA